TCTAGTATTTTATTCTGAGCATGGTTTATTAAAATTCCATTGGAATGTAACATTTTAGAATAGTAACATCTCACAAAGATGTTCAATACCTAACTCACCAGCGACGAGCAAGTGAGTCAAATAATAATCTCGTATTTTATTCTGAGCATGGTTTATTAAAATTCCATTGGAATGTAACATTTTAGAAGCTCATAAAAATGTTCGATACGTAACTCACCACTAACGTGTCTTCATTCTTTTTTATTTAGACGAACCTTGGGCATACCTAGCATCTTCAGAAACGTAATCTAAGACGATATCTAATCGCAGTACTAAATCTCGTCCCTTAACGACGCGCACAGCGATTCACGTGACACGGAAATGCAATCTCGACGCATAATCAACGAACAGAGGCTCTGTTAGGTACTTACCGCGGTTCCTAGCCAGAAGATACACAGACTCGTTATTTTCACGCTATTACGGGACCGAATCACCATCCAAAGCGATGCTGGGCGTCGTTAAGGCGAAACACCACCTTTAGGGGCAATAAAATTGCTCATATTTGTGTATTTTTCTTTGGGATAAGGAACGTCTGATATAAATCGTTCGTGCATGCATTTAAAGTGCATACTTTGAACAATGTTTCTGACAATTTCCATAAAGAAATAATTTGTTATATGGAAACTATAAGGGTCCCTATATACCATGATACTGGAAATTCTTTAGACGCGCGTTGTGGTTGAACAGAATTTAAAGTTGAAGTGATTTAGAAACAAGGAGCAAAGAATCTAAATGCACTTTGGTAAGATTAGAATTGTTAGGTACTAAATTTTGTAATTTTGTGTTATTAATAAATCACGTATTTTTAATAGGTTCCATCAAAAGTTTGCTCCAATTAGTCACGATAACTGTCTTTTCGTTACAGATCGAAAATATCATGTCGTCTCTCCGAGCCGTCATATTCTTGGCCATGGCCCTGATACTCCTGATCGACTGGTCCACGGCTCTTCCAGCCCCCGACAAAGAAAGACTTCTGAACGAGGTAGACGTAAGTAACACGATCCCCGGTACTCACAAAACAAAACAAAAACACGCCTACGACACCTACATATACAAATTCTTGTAACATCAAATATTCATTCTTCTCGTTCGCGAGTAGTATGTTTTGTGGTTTGTTGATCTCTCTTCCTTTAATATACATTCGTTATTCGTCAAAATTTTAGAAAATGTTTCGGATACATTTGAAAGAGAACTAAATTTTATACAAAAAATGTCGATTAACTTTTTCTCTATCTTCTCTAATAAAGCTTCGAGAAGCGTCTGTGAATTTGTTGGTTCGCATCCCTTGCTGAATTGTTGCCCCGTTTTTCTTAACGAATTATTTCCTTGAAAACGAGGCCTCGTACGAAAAAATATTATTCCACGTTTTTCGTTAATTTTTCCACGTGGAATCGATAGGCACCAGTTTATCAGTTCATCGGCCGTTTCATCGAGAACAGGGCCTCCCACGAAAAAATGTTGTTGATTACTTTCGATTTACTTTTTCGCCAGCTATTCTTTTCATTTCGTGATCAACCATAATATCCCCCGTATAGCCATAATTTCCACTTATCCGGATTACCTCTGTACCGATACGTAGCTGTGAATTGCTCGAAGAAATCAATGGTGTAGGTTTTAATGAGACGACAAGCAGAAGGCTGCGTAGCAGTTAATAACGAGTAACTGGAACGTTTGGAACGAGTTGGCGCCCAGCGCTTGTTAGAAGAACAAATGTGGCTCGTTAACGTCTCACCTCAAGCCGCTCCCGATTTTTTCTCGCGACAGAAGATGGTAAACGCTCGTCTTGAACTCGTTTTGATCCTGAGGCGAACGGAGTCAATGAGACGCGCCTAACCTAGATAATCCGAGACCTAACAACGTTTCTCAGCGTTGCGAACTCTCGCGACGCAGACAAACTTTATTCCTGTTTCTTTTCTTTTCTTTTTTTAAATTACTTTGTCACGTAATTGGTTAAAGGAAACGCAGAGGAATAAGAAGACATAAAAATGAATGAAGTACAATATTTGTCGATATAAAATGTCACGGAATCTTGCAGAATTGTCTTCTATGTGTAATCAGGAATCGTCGCGAGCAATTAATGAAATTAATCGAATTATAAATATATAGACCGATTATTTCTGACGATTAAGTTTCCAATCCCATCAATTAATCGTTTCGTTAATTGAATGGAAATATTCGATTGATATCTGGGGAGAATTATGACAAATTAGCGTTGAACGCTCCGCCGTCTGACCATTGACGTACCTATTCTACTTGCTAGCTTCACTTTCACTAGAAGGGGATTCCTAACTATCTCGCTCTCTTCTTTAACTCTATACCGCATAATTTGCTCAATAATTTCCTCTTGATATTTTCTTTTGAGAAGATGTATCGGTATAGGTTCGACTATTTATCGTTTAATATCAATGATAATTAAATCATAGACACAAGTAGCGCAAAAAATTGTCTACTTTTTTCGAGTGATAAAATAAAGTTCATACAACAGAGAATTAATCTTTTATAGAGCTCGAAGCACTGAAGCTTACTTTGGTTTTATACATAGACGATTAATAGACATTAAATGATACTTAATGGGAACAAGCGTGAGACGATTATCGATACAATTTCCAATTTCACATACAATTACACATTTCTTGAATTTTCAGCACGTCTGTTTTCAAGCAGTCTCGCGTAACCACGGAAGCTCGTTGTTCACAGTTAATCACTCAGGCTTCTCATATTACTTGAAGTCCTTGATAATTGTTAGTTTTTTTCGTTTATTTTGCTTTCACTTCGATTTCCAATAACATTGTTCATGCAGCACCTACGCTAATTTGGAAACCAATGGCTCGCTTTGACCAGTTACTCGCGGTTTAAAACTGCTCTGCGATCGTAAACCGCTGTAGCTTTTGCCCGTTTCCAAATTAATATCTCCTCCCCCCTGCGATTAATTAGCGGATTGCCAGCCGTGCGGTCGAGCGATCCGTCGCGTGCGTCATTTTTAAATGTTTTAGCGACACGTAGAGCGCTGTTAAAATCGAATTTATCGAATTAACGCTATTGGTATGAAACTTCAAGTCTGTCTGTTTGTTGTTTTCCTATAACTACCACTATTTTCGTCCAGTTGGAATAAAATTTTGTTTCGGAGCTCTTTATAATCACAATGGAAATTACAGGCTGTTCACTTTGATAAAATGTTAGTTAGAAACATAAAATTCAACAGCTATGTGTTTTTGATTTCTCTGTAACACTTATTGTCTTCATCCAAGTTTTATGAAATTTTATTTAGTGG